AAGCCACCCTTTCAGTCGACCAGCACCGAAGAAATCTACCGCCGAGCGAGAGAACGAGACTACGAATGGCCGAACCCGGAGACGACGCAGAAGTACATCAGCGAGGAGGCCAAGGACTGTGTAGCCACTATGCTCGAGGACGCGGATATGAGACCCGATCCAGACATCATCGTTCAACATCCCTTTTTCACTTGCGGCTATTTCCCTGTTGAGGCCGATATCACGACCAGACTCCTCACTCTGCCTCCCGACGGCTCGGAATTCTACACCAATCGCATGAGTGCCCAACTGCAAGCGGTCACCAAGAAAAACATGGAGGACATGTGCAGAGACTGCGGCGTGGGTCCATGGACACCAGTGCAGGTCGTTCACACTCAGACATGGAAAGAAATGGCTGCCGAGGAGAAGTCTGGGTTGACTCCCATGATTCCCCTGGGAGAGGACGTCGTCTACAGGCCATTCGACGATTGGCTTCGCGAGAAGCGGCATGCTCGTGCTCTTGCTGCCTCGGCGTCTTCGCGTCCTGATGCGGCTTCAGAGTCTCAATTAACAACTTCGCAAACAGCGCCGACAGGCCTGTTGCGCCAACCTCCTCAGAGTTTCGCGGCTCAACAAAGAGCACAGAACCGACCTCCGGTGATGGCCAGCTCTACCAGTTCTGTCAGACCCCGACCTCCTGCAGAAGCCCCCGCCCAGCCTCTTCAACCTGCAGAGGCACCTCGCCCAAGATCCGTTAGACAGCATAGTGCGCCCGAGTCTCGGACGAACCAGCTTGCGGAAGCCCCGTTGAGGAAGTCAAGTGCGCGCAGAACACCACTGCCGACATCGCAGTCGACAGGCGCTCTACCCGTCCAAGCCATGTCGTCTCAAGCCATGTCGTCACAGTCTTCAAACCAAGCCACTGTCACCATGACCGGGCTAATGGAGAATCTCAAGATCTCTTCCGATCAGAATGAGAGAGCTTCATTGTTTAGTCCAGCTGAACCCGCGGAGCCGGTAGCAGGCTCGAAGCCGGATGTCATTCTTGAGCGACTTCGCCGACTGCAAACAGAGTTGGAGCGCGCCCTGAACGCTCGAACAATGGCCATCATCTCTTCCAAGGATACCACTCCGCCTCATCCCAACGTGGTGGTGAAGTGGGTCGACTACACCAACAAATTCGGTCTTGGCTATATCTTGAATGATGGCGGTGTCGGGTGCATTTTGAGAGACATTCCTACGACCGAGGCCAGCAAGACTCTGACACTGCCTTCGGCTTGCATGCTTGTGCGTGATGCTGAGCGACACATTGAGCGACGTCATGACGAGTCGTATCCCGAGAGACATCAACCACTGCCGCCCACGCAAGACATCCATTTCTACGAGAACAACGGCGAGGCAGGTCTCACTCGAGTCTCTGTCTCCTCGAAGCAGTTCCGCGTACCGGTTTACGAAGACGGGACTCCCGGAAAGCTGAACCCCGGAAAGGATGTCTATGAACACAGAAAGCGAGAGCGCGTGATTCTCTGGAAAAAGTTCGCCAACTACATGATTGCCTATGGCAGGGATGAGCCAGTCCCCGCTGAGGAAACTGTCACTCGACCGATGGAGTTCTCTGTCAACAACTCTCAGCCTTCTGATCTGGTTACATTCTACCAACGCTTCGGCGATGTTGGCTGCTGGGTCTTTGGCGATGGCCATCTTCAGGTAAGCTCAAGTCGCACAACCGTAACGTAACGTGACGTGGCTAACAAAGTAACAGTTCAACTTCCCCGATCACACCAAGATCGTCTTGAACGCCGCAGGAACCTGGTGTCACTTCTGGCACCTCCCCATGGATGCGGCGCAGAACCTTGCCACTACTGGCAGCCTGGGCGCTGCTGCTCTTGACGAGAGGGCCATGTTGTCCTACCCTCTACAGACGCTGTTGAACTTCCAGGCCAAGCCCTCGGCGGCTCGTGCTACTCGCCCGACCACAACATCACGCCGGCGTCCGGAGATTCCAACCGAACTGCAGGGAATTCCTGTCGCTAATGACTTCCGTCGCAAGATCGAATTCATCAAAAACGCAATCAAGGAATGGGTCACAAATGGCGGTCTGGGTAACAGCGCTATGGACCGTGATCACAGACTACGCTGGGGAGGCCATCGCGAGACCGTCATGGGCAACAGCTTTATCAAGGGTGTCTGGGTAACTGTTGGCGCTCGGTGGGGTGATACTAGACTGTCGGCCTACATTGACCCTGCCAACCCAATGGAAATGGGTGAAGAGATTGACGAATCCAAGAGACGACGCCACTGAAGGACTACATTCGTCGACGGCGATGGAGTTTTGTGCAGTTCAGCAGCGAGAGCGGACTCTGCATTGTTACGTATGTTATGGTTTATCATTTTCAGCCAGCCCGGCCAGTTTGGCCGGCGCTCACGAGATCACGCCATGGTCGCCACGAGGGGAGATGGCATTGTCGGGCATATCTGGAGTTTAAAGGTCTTTACAGACATAGCAACGGCGTCTTGGGAGCATAATAAAGTGTTACGAGTATATACCAGAACTTGTTCAATGATGGGTTTCTTGCAGAGATGATTGTACTTGACGCCTCGTTTCAGCCATTCGTCCGGTCCAGGCAGTTCCCTTCCAAGGTCGCCTTCGGCCACTAATTTTGCCTTCAGTCAACATGATCACCGCTTTTTTCGCGCCTTAGACTGGATAATCACTACTAGTCACGTCCTACTCTCGTGGGAGAAGAACGGCCCTTGGAACACAACCGTTTCCTTCCAGACCACCTTGATCAATCTAAATTGTTGAGGGAGACATTCATACAAGCTTAAGCAGCTGGTCCAGTATCAACTTCGCGGGATGACCGACCTTCACCCTGGTACACCCACCGTAAGATATTTACAACCCCTTGACTACCCTAAGAAAAAAAGCAAGGGGAAAAACAGCAGGTAGGTAGGTAGGTAATCCATCATACTCAGAGTGCAAAAAGCTCAGCCCCCCTCACGGGGGACCTACGAAAATCACTAGACCATTGTTACGTACTATTCCTCAGTTGTAACGGTACCAGCGATTTTTCACGAGACTCGAACTCGTGACCCATGGGAGCGGGGCAATTCAAACGAGGACATTCCCCGCCACGCCATGGGCCTTGGTGATCGATTGAAGCGATTTTATTCAATAAGTAGTGATGGGTGGGCGGTGAGGGCGACTCTGGATGGGCTGCCTGTGCCTATCAGTCGTTGAGATGAGGTGGGTGCCTGAGGAGGAAGGAGCATGGGAGGTGAGGGTGGTGATGGTTTCGAAGTGGTGGGCTGGTGAATACTCACCTCAGTCGTTGAGTGTATTGGCTCAATGATCAGGTTAACCTTCAATTCTTCCACTAAGGTAATCGAAAGCTGCAAGTTCAAGCAGGTCAACGTGAAATTTACTGTGGCCCCAGTCTGAGTCGCCGCGGTCATTCCATAATAAGAGATACTGCTAAGCTCGATACAACTCGTAATTCAGCTTGGCATCCAGACTTGTTGTATGGATGAGACAAGATGTATTCGGCCAGTAATTCTTCGTACTTGCATATGAGTACGGCACGGAATGTATAACTTCAAAATCAGCGCCATTTATGCTATTTTGAATCACACTTCTGATTTACATTTTGTACTCGTTTTACCAGGTCTTTGATGTCATGCTTCTTCCAGCTGAACCATATTCTAGTCGCATCATTGATTGATCAATGTAGCTCATAATAGAGACCGCTTGGATGATAACGCCTCTTCATGCTGGCTGAAAAGTGTTTGCAGGAAAAGAAGTGGAGGATTCGGTTCTCTGCTGCCCAATACGCAGCACAACAGGTAGACGAGCCCGAAGTCGCTACGCCACTCACCACATCGGTCCTTCAAGATGCCTAGATTGAAAATAGCAGACTTCATGTCAACGAAAAGACTTTGGCTTCAGCAACGCATCTCCTATTTTTCGGAAGTAGCCAGGGGCAAGCTTGATTTGCTGAAGGTTAATTTGGTATGCCCTGCTGTCAATCTGCCACATATACCTGGAGGCTTAGATAGGCGGAACCAAAATACAATGGGAAGGCAGGCCCTGTGCTCTTCTCCGCACGCCTTCCTCTCCCACATCAAAAAAGCCTGCTCCTTTCTCCCATCCACAACCACAACCACAACCACCATCACCCAAACACTCATTCACAACATCAAAATGATGGCCTCCGTGATAGCCTCAACAAAGAGCAAAAGAAACTGAGCCACACCCGATTTGAACGGATAACCTTTCGATAGCATCTCGACGTATCTCGATCTGGAGTCGAACGCGCTACCGTTGCGCCAGCAGCCCTGAATCGCCTGTATCCTAGGACGCAGGGATGATTGGTGGTCGTGGTTGGGAGTCTGGTTATGAAGCCTTGTAGATGTGTTTTTTTGTGCGCGATTCTGCAAAGTTGCGGAGCCCAAAGTCCTCTTTTGGGTAAGGTGAAATTGCGGTTGTGGAGTTTGGGCGGGCTGGTGGGATATGCGGGTTTCCATGGTTCGGGTGGTTTTTTGGAGTCGACAACTCGAGACTCCTTTGCAATATCGCAGTTGCCGTTGTCTACCTTTGGCTACCTCTGGGAAACCGATTCATTCGCTTTGTGTTGGATATTGATTCAAGGCGTCTCCTCTCATAAGTTGTGTCCTCCGATCGAGTTTTCGAAGGCTTTAGCAACGCCAGGCCTAGACTGATGGCCAGGAGATAACGATGGGATCAACAAGCTGGCTGTACTTTGCCAAATCCAAGTCAGGCGGCACGGCAGACGCTTGCTGAATCTAACGCGCTGTAGCAACGTAGATGCGTCGCGACATTTCAGCATCGGGCCGCATCTTCACGTCAGAGTTAAGCCAAAGTATCTCTCGAGTCACGCAATCAGGTTCATGCGGGCATTGAGCTCAAACGAAGATTTGTGCATTGATTCCGATTAACCAAGCGGACCTACAAAGCCTACTTCTTCAGGAGAACCTCCCACTATAGAACTCTAGCAAACTCCTCAATCCTGGGCGATTGCCAGCTTGGTGTTCTCCGAGAAGCTGGTCAGGGTCGCCTCATAGGCACTCAAAAATGCCTTCGGATCCTCCTCTCCATACAGATAGCTCTGCAGCTTGACCGTGACGAGCGGCTCCTTGGCCGGATCATCCGACATCTCCAGGACAACATCATGCGGCGTGCGCTCGCGCGAAGCCCAAATTTCGGTGAAAGAAGCACCGCCGAGCCGTCCAGTCTCCGCGGCACCTTGCCTGTAGTCGAAGACGGCCTGGAACAGCGGCGCATACGGCAGCTCCGCCGACGAGGACGCGAGGCCGAGGCGGTCCAGCGTGACGCCATAGGGTACGCGGGCGTGCTGCATCGCCTGCCGCAGGCGCTCCTTGACGGACTCGAGCTCGTCGGCGAAAGTCTGCGCCGGCTCGAAGGGCGCGAGGCGGACGGGGAGTAGGTTGGCGAAGAAACCCATGGTTGAGACGTCCTGGATGCTGGCGCGATTGGTGTCAGCGATACCAATGGCCACGTCCGCTGCGGTCGAGAGGCGCGCGAGTAGCAGGTGGTAGGCCGCTAAGTAGAAGTGCATGGGCGTTACGCCCTTCAGCTTCTTGCAGCGCTCGCGGATGCGGAAGGCCAGGATCGCGCTTAGGCGGAGCGTGCCGACGTGTTGCTTCCAGGCGACGCGGTTGCTTGCGTCTCGCTGCTTCTGGGCGTTGGGGAGCGACAAGACTGGGAGGACCCCTGGAAGGGTCTTGTACATGGAGGTCCAGTACGAGATGTCGGCGTCCATCTGACCGCTCTGAACGTCGGATCGCTGCCGCGCGGCGAAGTTGGAGTACTGCGGCGGCGCCGAAAGTTGCGCGCCGTCGTATAGTTGGCCAACTTCGTCGAGGAAATTCTGCGTCGTTGAGCCGTCGCCCACCAGGCGGTGGTAGCCGATGACGAACAGATGCTCGTCCTGGGCCCAGTGGAAGTCGATAATTTTGAGACCTTCACCTGCGGCAAGATCATACTCTTCAATCTCCAACTGCTTGTAGGCCTCCTCTGCTGCTGCCCTGTCATTGACCTCGACATAGCGCACGCGGGTGACCGGGGTAGGCAGGATGACTTGCTCTCCCTCAGGTGAGAATGCGGTGCGGAAGATCTCATGACGGCGGAGGGACTTGTTCAGGGCCTTCTCAAGTCTATCCAGGTCTACTGAACCCTTCATGAACACACCAATGGTGTTGTGGAAGATAGTCGGCTCATTAGACAGTTGCTGAAGGAGCTTCCACGAGTGTTCTTGGGTGAGAGACAGCGGGATCTGGCGCGAAGTGGCCGCCTTATCATCCAAGGCGACGTCGTCACCCCTCAAGTCTGAGACCGATGTAGCATTCGACGTGTCAATGGGCGAGTTACTACCGCTGCGGCTATCATCTTCGCTGCTGACAATGCCGTCGGCAGATTCGATCAGGGGAATGGCGGCTCTTGAGAGTCGTCCTGCCGCCTCCTCGGCAAGTTCAGCGATTGAGGCACCGCTGACGACTCTCAGCAGCGGGATGTCAATCATAAGCGTCTTGGAAAACCTAGAAATTGCCCACGTCAGCCGTTGTGTCCTGCAAGGAAAGGAAGTAACAAATCACTCACCATGATCCGACGGTGATTGCACCGAGCGAGTCCACGCCCTGGTCAATCAATGGTGTCGTGGCGTTGACCTTTTCATCGGCAGGGATGTGCAGGATGCCGCGCATCTTTTGCGACAAGCCATCTGTTGATCAAGTTAGCACCTGCTTGTACCCCAATTCCTCGAATTGTAGGGGAGGACTCTTACCAATGATGATATCGCGAACCTCATCCAGTGTCCTTGCTTTCAGTAGCTGCTCCTTGACAGAGCTCTTAGCCCCCGAGGCGCCATCCGTGTTGGCACGGCTCTCGGGAACCTTTAGGTTTCCGAACCGCGGGTCGTCGTAAAACTTGACGGTGTCTTTGTGGCGGGCACTGAACTCGGGAATGCCGGTGATCACCTCAAGGTCCGATATGTCTGTAATGGCCACTGGCTGAGAGCCTGGGGCTCGCCTTCCAGAGACAACCGCCTCGGCAAACAAGGTAAGGAACTCGTCTTCCGAAATCGTGTCCGTGTCAGAAGCGAGCTTGAACTCTTCCTCTCTGCCGGTACGCGACAGGAATCCGACACCGATAACGGCGCCAATCGCGATTGTCGATGCGGGGAGGCCCTGAATATGACGCTTCTGAGCGAGGGCTTGGAGGAACGAGTTCGCGGCTGTGTAGTTTGCCTGGCCTGGGTTCCCTCCCACCGTCGCAACCGACGAGAACATGACGAAGAAGTCAAGGGGATCCTTGGCCTGGTTCGAGAAGCGTTCGTGTAAGATCTGCGCTCCGACGACCTTGGAGTTGACGGGCACATTCATCATGGAAAGGTCCATGCTTGCCAGAAGAGCATCGTGAAGTACCAACGGACCATAGGCGATTCCGCCGATGGGCGGCAGCGTCTGTCTAATCTGAGCGAGCCCAGCATCGATGGAGGCTTCTTTAGAGACGTCGATGGACAGAACGGTGATGATGCCGCCCAAGTTCTCGATCTCTGCCAACCACTTCGGGTCAGGGGTTTCGGGGTTACGACTGGAGATCACGACATGGCGGGCGCCGTGCGTAATAAGCCAACGAGCCAGAGACCGACCCAGAGATCCGGCAAGACCCAAGAGGAGGTACGTCTTGTCGAGGGAGAACAGCTTACCCGAGTCAACGGCGCGGACTCGTGCTGTCACACGACTCTCGGTTCTCCAGTCAATGATAGTTGAGGTAACAGACGCATCCTTCAAGTCAATGATGCTGCCGACAGGTTTCACGCTAGACTCTTCATCGACCTCAGGAAAAGCAGCAATTTTTGGAACCTCTGCCGCAGCCGCGAGAACAGCCTGCTCAACCAGCGGCCGCTGGAGTGCATCTTGCTCAGGTGAAGAGATGGATTCAGCAGAGCTTTGGAAGATGTGGCCGCGGTCGAACTTGAGGCAAACGGGCGGCAGAAGTTTGGCTACACGAGAGCCCAAGCTGGTGATGGAGCTCGCCCCCTCCGAGAAATCATAGTAGGCGGCGAGATTCACGGGCAGAGCCTTTCTGATGCCCGCATCAGTCTCCAGGGAGTGCAACCGGATCCACGGCAGCGAGGACGAGACTGAAGCTCCCGCTGTCGCGAAATGAACCTGCACGTTTCTGCTCTTCCCTGTCTCGACGATGGCATCGACACAGAAGCCTGGCGGCTCCATGACGAGAACCGACGCACCGGAAGCGATGCCATTGAAGATTCTCTGAGCGACAAGCCTCGCAGCAGTTGAAAGCAGGACAGACGCATTCTCGGCGACGCTCTCAGATGCTGGGAGAATAAAGGCATGACTGGGGTGAACATGGACGATGGACGCGTTGGTAGCCGAAAGCGCCATGACTGCCTTGTCCGTGCCAACGATGGTACCCTGTACGAGATGCCAAAATCCGAGATCGCCTACACGGATAGCGTTTCCGAGAGAGAAGTCTATCTTGACTTCCAAGTCCGCCTCCGCGGATGAGTCTGCACCGAAAGTCTCCGATGACTCCAAATAAAGAGTGTCTTCCGACGCCAAGAGAGTCACAGGCATCGTATGGGAGTCAACTGAGGCCGTGATGGCACGACGCTTCGAGTTGAGACGGTTGTTCCTCTGGATATCGTGCTTGATGCGGGGAATGTAGGCACGAGACTTGGAAACGTACACTTCGGGCTCCAGTGTCCAGAGGATGTCTTCCTTCGAGTCGGTAGGCTCCTCGAGGCGAATAAGTTGCTCAACCAGGAACTTAGTGTCCAACTTCTCAGCGTCGTCAACGTCAAGTGACTGATTGTGGGTGGCGGGGTACTCGAGGCGGGCGGATCGAAGCATACCGGCTGTCATGGCCTGGTAGGGGTTCTCGATCCATGCGTTTTCAGTGAGCCAGAGGATCGTGCCGGCGAGCTCCAGGAGGGACTTGATTGCGCTGAATCTGACCTCATCGATGCCGGAGAAGGTCTCATGATCGAGCTCCGAAAGGACAAGGAACGTCGACTTGGGTGGAATGCTCGACTCCAGGACGTCTTCAATCCGCTTGAGAGAAACGATCTCCCGACCGGGCAATGTCTGTTGCACCTCATCCAAGATCCTAGCTGATTTCGCCGAGCCCCCGCCAATCACGATTATTTGGGGAAGTGCCTTGTCGGTAGGAGGAGCGGAAAGCGGCGCGTCGAGACGCGCGACCTTTGTGTTGACCGCATGAGTGCAGAAGAGAGTGTTGGGGAAGAGATTGCCATGTCGGTCCAGCGTGCGGGTGTCGACACCGGAGAATCCAGTCTGCTTGAAAATGGCATCCCACTGGTTGATATCTGCAAAGGGGTCAAGATCACGGCCTTCGTCGATGCCGGCCCACCAATCCGGGAATAAACCAAACAGGTAGCCAACACGGGTGTGATCCCGGTGGGTTGCTTCAAGCAGAACGACATGGCCACCAGGCTTCAGAAGAGACCGTACGTTGGCCATCGTCTCTGCCAGCTTTGGGGTGGCATGGAGGACAGATGAGGCGATGATCATGTCGTACGAGTGCGGCTTGAAACCCTGCTCTTCAGGCTTCTTGGTGATGTCCAGCTTCTGGAAGATCATGCGATCCTCGTGTGCTGAGAAGTGCTCTTGGGCCTTTTCGAAAAATGCGGGAGAAATGTCGGTAAAGGTGTAGCTGTTGAAGCCCAACTGCGGGATGTCCAGAATGTACTTTGTTGCCGAAGCGGTACCACCACCTTTGGGTAAGAGCTGTTAGCATGGGACTGACCAAGTCATAACAGTAGGCTTTCTAGGACTAACTTACCAATCTCAAGGATGTCCATTGTCTGGTAGCGATGGCAAAGCTGGCTGACCAATTCCTGACCGTACAGCCAGCCAGGGCCACTGGTCAAGTAGCTCGTGTAGAACTCCGTCAGCAATCCGTCGTGGTCCATCCACAAGAACGGGTTGCTCTTCTCACGAATGGTTGAGAGGGTGTTCTCGCTCACTCTCTTCGCCATCTTGACGTGAGGGTGGTAGGAGTTCCTGCAGCATATGTGATTAGCAACAACCAGCGCCAAAGCTAGAGTATTGTTTGGAACTTACTCTACAACCAACTGCTCGATCTGTTCGCGCGTATCTGACTCCCAAGACGGATCATACCACTCATGCCAGGTTCCCTCCTTCACCTTGGCCGAGACGTGCTCATTCCAGTAGATGTATCTCTGGTGAGGCAGCGTAGCGTTGGCGCGGTCTTCTTCAGTGAGCTGGCTGACAAACTCCTTCATGTAGAAATAGCAGATGCGCTCAATGATGGGGATCACTTGCTTGTCCTGCTCAGTAGCCCAGAGGTCCGGATTGTCCAGGAGTCCTTCGGGCTTCAAGGGGCCCCAAACTGTCTTGGTGAAGGCTTTATGGTCTTCGGCCTCGGACGGCTTGGAAAGTGGCTGCAAGAGCAGGTTCTCGATGCGGTAGAGAACTTGCTTTTCATCGCCCGAGGAGAAGACCGTGGCATCTCCGGCCAAAACGTCACCCTTATCGTACGTGTTCGCCGTGTTGAAGTGAACGATAGGAGCCGAGTCAGATTCGGCAACAGAAACGCAGAGCGCTGGGACGAGACTGATCCGGTCAATGTGAACAGGCACATAGATGGACCTCAGGCGCTTATCTCCTGGGGCTGAATAGGCACCCATGATGGTCTGGAACGCCAAGTCCATAGAAGCTGGATGCAACACGATTGGACGAGATCCATCATCCAGACGCGGGAAGGCCATGTGGCCAATAGCTTTCGCATCGGCGCGCGCGAGGTTGTAGATGCAGCGGTAATCCTTGCTGTAATCGAATCCAAGCTCATCCAGTTCGCGGTAAAAGTTCTTAATGTTGACTGTTGTAAGGTGCGGAGGGTCGTCGTTTGCGGGTGGCAGGACATTTGTAGAAGAGTCCCCGAATGTGACAACGAGCTGACCGGTAGCAGATGTTGACGGCTTTGACTCTTTGGCAAGACATGAGTCAATCGTGAAGCTGAGCTTTATCTGGTCTGGCTGAGAGGCAATGGTGTCTACCGCGACGATGAGCTCTGCCGGGCTGTTCTCGTCCTCGAATGTAACAGCCTTATCAATGCTCATGTCAAGCACCTCAAGTAGCTGAACGGAACGCCCACCAGCCATCTGAAGAGCAGCCTCCATTGCCATGACGATGTATCCGGCAGCGGGGAACACAGCCTGGCCTTGAAGCGCGTGGCCTTGCAGCCACTCGTGGTCCCTAGGCCGGATAGTGTTGTGCCATTGCGATGTCGAACCGGTGCTCGAAGCAGAGAGGGAGCCTAGAAGGAGATGAGGCTTTTGACCGTAGAGATGAGCCTTGATCGCGCGTGTCTCGTTCCAGTGAGTCCGGCTGTGGTCCCAGGGGTACCGGGGCAAGGCCTTGGACAGGCTTCGAAGACTCTTTCCTGGCGCGATCACTTTGGTAATGAAGCTATTAGGGTCGACGGCGTTCAGACCCAGACGCTCCCAAAGACATCCAACAGCACTGGCAAAAGCTTGAACATTATCGGAACCACGCTGCATGCAACCTGTGTAAGAAATTTCCTCGGAGAGAACAGTCTTGAGGGTCGCCAGACAAGGTGCCTTCAAAGCCGGGTGACAGCCCACCTCAATGGCGGCATCGAGCGATTTATGCTCGATTGCGGCGGCCTCAATAGCCTGCATGAAGCGAACAGAAGAGATCAAATTCTCATTCCAGTACTCGGCGGTGATGTCGCTTGCCTTCATGCGTCTGTTCTGATGCACAGAGGAGTACCATGCTACTGAAGAACCGACTCCATCAGCGACGTCGCAGCCACAGTCCTTCAAAGCCTTGATATAGTGCGACGAGCAAGAGAGCATGTGGTGTGAATGGTAAGCCTTATCGACCTTGAGCATGCGGACAAACTTGGACTCATCCTCCAAGATAGTCTGCAGTTCTGCAAGGGCATCTGCATCACCGGATATGGTGGTGCTGTCAGGCGAGTTGCTAGCAGCAACGCAGATACGGCCTTGGAACATCTCCAGCTCGCACAGCTCCTGTGCATCTTCTAGTGAAGTTCCTACCGCAAGCATGCCTCCCTCGCCCCCGTTCGGGGAGCTCGCATACTTGGATGTAAGGCCTCGGAGGTAAGCAATTCGGATGGCCTGTGAGGCGCTGATGAAGCCTCCAGCGAAGGCGCACGCTATCTCGCCTGAACTGTGACCGACAATCGTGGTGAACTCAACACCAGCAGCTGCCAGTAGCCGCACCAGAACAATCTGTACAGCGCAGCAAAGCGGTTGAGAAAAGCTGGCTTTGGTAACATTGGAGGCCTCATCCTCGAGCAAAAATTGCTCGTACAGGGTCCAAGAAGGGCGGTATTCGACAGGCAATGTCTGGAGCGAGCGGTCAAGCTCAATCACGATGTCGCGAACCTGAGGTATCGCTAAGATGAGCGATCTCATCATGCCAGGCCATTGAGCACCTTGGCCAGTGAACACACCCAAGAGATGAGGCTTCTCCTGGCTGGTGGTGAAGGAGCGCAAGGTGGGCTCTGAGCTGGCGTTTTCCGAAATAGCGTTTTCTAAGGCGAGTATGATAGCTTCCCTGGAAGATCCAACGACATTGTGGCGGTAAGGGAGGATGGATCGCTTGCGAAGGAGCGTCCAAAAGAGATCAAGCATGTCGACATCCGGGTGAGTATCAGATTAGAAGTCCAATTCGACCGCAGTATACAGCCAACTGCGCAGGGGCTAATTAAGGGCCCTATTTATAATTATCGTAACTAGCCTAACCTACGGTTAGAACCTCTTTTTTATACTTACGTAAATATTTATATAGTTTAATTAATCTCTTTATTAACTTATAATTTAAATTAACTACCCTATAATAAGAATACTAATACTAATTAATAATTAAATTTTATTATTATAAATTAGTAAAATATTTTACTATATAAAAAAAATAACTTCTTAATACTATATAAAATAAGAGATTTATATTAATTAACTTTATAAAAATAAAAAAAAAAAAGCGATTTTTAAATACCGTACGGAATTAAGTAATTATAACCTTTTATTATTTATAAAAAGTCGACGTTTATTATATTAAATTATATTAATTAATAGAATTACTTAAATAACTAGCTTTTTATTATTATTTTAAATAGCTTTTTTATTAAATAACTTTTTTATAACTAGCTTATAATTAAAAATTAACTAGCTAAATTAATAAAAAAAAATATTTATATAGTAACTACTTACCTAATTAATTAATATAATAAATAAGCTTAATAATATAATATAAAAAAGTACTACGTAATTAAAAAAAGGGATTTCTAAATATAAATATTCTTAGTAAGTATAATAAGAACTTATATAAGAGTTATTAAATTAAAAAATTTATAATATATAAAAAGGCCTAATATTACGAGGATTTTATAAATACGACTTTAAAATTTATAATTTAAATAATCTTTTTATAACCCCCTTAACTACTCCTTAAGTATTATTTAAAAATATAATATAAAAAACGGTTTAATAAAAAAAAAAGGAGATTTAGAAATCCTAATAGTATTAAGTTAAGAATATTATAAATTTTAAAGATTAATTTAAAAAAAAAGCGGCTACCCTAAAATAATTTTATAACTTCTTACTAAAGTTATAATTAGCTTAAAAAAAAGCTAAAAAAATATAATTTTAAAAAGAAAAAATCCTCTAAAAGGCTATTAAAAAGCTCTTTTTTATACTAAGCTTTTAATATAAAATTACTAATTTTAAAAAATTAACTAAGTAATAGAAGGGATTATTAATAAATAATAATTATTTAATAGTAATTAAGTTACGAAAAAAACTATTTAAAAGATATAAAATAAGGTACTAAAAAGCTATAAAAAAAAGATTTTTAAAATAATTAACCCTACTTAGTATGAGTAATAAAGTAATAAGTATTTTTAATAAGTTTTTTAAATCCTCGATTTTATAAAAAAAAAGGGCTTAACTTCGTTAATTATACTTAATAGCTTATTTAGCTCTTAATAGCCTATCCGGCTCCTTTATAAACTACTTAATATTTATTTCTAACTATTTTTTTTAAAATACTACCCTAAAAAAAATAGGTTAAAAAAATAATTTAGAAATTATAAAAAGTATAAGGCTTAAGAAGTTAAAAATATAAAGAATAATAGAAATTAATAACTAATAAAGACCCTAAGACTAATTATTACGTCTTCTTATAATAATATAAATATTTATTATTATTATTAAAAAAGAAGTTATTAAAGCCTATTTTTTTATACTAAATAAAAAAGAAGATCTTAGTAAGTATAATAGTTAGTAATTTAAAAAAGTAGTAATAATTATTAAAAATAATAAAAACGAAAGTAATAATAAAATAGCGAGAGGAAATAAGAATTACTTAGACCTTAATAAATTCGTTAAGTAATAAAAGTATAGATTTATTATAATTAATATATAAATTAAATATATCCTTATTAAAATTAAATACGTTAATAATTACTAATACGGGTATAAGTTAAAATACGACCCTTAATAAGTTAGGGTAAAAAAGAAAAAGAAAAAACCTAATCCTAAATAAAATCCTAATCCTTTATAAATAAATAAATATTAACTTAAATTATTAAGGAACGTAAATATATAAAATCGTAAATTAGCTTAATAATAAGTAAATTAATATAGTATTAATCTATTTAATTAAGGTTTATAAAAAAAAGGGGCTATAGGAGTAACCCCTATTTTATAAAATCGTAAACGACCTTAGTTATTAGCTAAACGAATAGTTTATAAGCATAAGCCTAAGAATTATAAAAGTAATTAATAAATTCTTTTATAAGCGAGGGGTATTATTAATATAATTATAATTATAAAAACTATATAAAATCTTAATAATAATAATTATAAAAAAGAAATTCGTATTATAGAACTAGGTATAAGTTAATAAAGTATATAATCGCTTTAATAAATTTAAAACAAAAATAAATAACTTAAATTTCCTTTTTATAATTATTAATAATCCCCCCGACGGAGCAATCCGCCGGGGCCGTACCGTGTATTACGTATTGGGGAAAACTGGGTATATTGCGCTCCATACCTAACTACTAATCAAAACAGTCAACCGACTCGACCATTGTCTCCCTTTCATCAACAGCTCCCAACCTTCCGCCGCCCGCCTACAGGGCGAGCTTCACCCACTCCAACGCGCACAGGACCTCCTGGTGCCAGCCCGCGTGGGCAGCCAGGTCCAGCATAATCTGTTCTTTTATATGGGTATTATCGTTACCCGGGGGGTCCCG